TAGATAATAGCACAGTATTAATGATTATGTTTTAAAACATAATTTTATAAACCCTCCCCCCAAGTGCGAACGTAATATGTGAACCACCCCTTACACTATAATTTTATAATTGACCTTGGTAGAGGATTTTAGAGAAAATGTGACAAAAAAATTTAATATAAAAGAAGTAAGATTTCTGGAAAATAATGAACTTTAATATATTTTTTAATTAAATAAATATTATTAATTAAATAAACATTTCATATTACAAATCATCATGGCCATTCTTATGAATATGGGTTAGGGTTTATAAAATTATGTTTTAAAACATAATCATTAATACTGTGCTATTATCTAAAGAAATAATATAATACTATTAAATTATATATTATATAATATTTTGAGAATAGTTCCTGATTGTTATTTGTTATCAACGATTACAAATTAATTGAGAAAGTTAGATTTTGAAGTCATATCTTATATATTTCTAGTGCATGTATGCATTTAATAGGATATCGAAATAATTCTTCATTATTAATCAATCGCTTTAAGTGGAAATCGACCATTGCACCATACTTTACAAATTAACCTTGGTAAAAATTTAATTAAAATTAAACCGAGAATTAAATCATTAATTATAAACATGGAATCTACAGTAAAGTTAGAAATAGTGCTAGTGTTGGACATGTTATAAATGTTTTTAAAAAAATATTTTTCAGTTAAAAAATATTTCATAAACTAAAAATTATTCCTATTTTGAGTTTATTAATTCATTCAAAGTTATCAAACAGTTGTTTTTAAAAGATAATTAACTCGTTAATATCTTAAAATCGTTCTTAAGGTCTCAACCCCTCCCCCTCCCCCATGTGCACACGTAATATGCGAATCACGCCTAATGAACTATGTATAAAAATGTGTTTCCTGTATAATGTTGATTTATGAATTTTTATCTATCGAAACAAATTTTAACTAAAACTTTGCACTGCAAACTGTATACATAACTTAATCAATGCTTTCAATAAATAAAAACCCTGTGCGGAATTATTGAAAAGATTTATTATTTTAAGTATACAGTTTGCACTGTAAAATAAATGACCGTTTGTTGTAGTAGAAGGGTATATTTCATAATCAATTGATCCGTTTCATTTAAAAATGGTTATGTACGGTTTTATATAAAGGGGAGGGGGAGGGGGAGGGGTTGAGACCTTAAGAACGGTTGCATATAAATGATTTTAAGAATTTAAAGGATTAATTTAATTATCTTTTATATCGGTGCTGGTTCAGTGTATCACAAATACGTCTGTACTGTTTTATACACATATGAAAATATTTTAAACATTATTTGAAACGAATATTTTTAAATAAATCTAACATTTCTAATAATTAATTAAAATAAAAATCTATTGTAATCCTTTTTATTTATTAAGTAAAATAAATTCTACTAAATGTTCAATATCTGTTTCCAGCACATAATAACACATTATATAGATATCCACATAGAGATATAGAGAGCACACATATCCTGGTGTGGGTATATCAGTTTTTATAATGAATGTCCCATAAAGGGTTAGGGATAATAAAAAAATTTTTGTACAGTAAACCTAACAATAATACAGTATTATTAACAAAGAAATTACCCCTAATCACTTTAATATATACGTATTATGATAATAGCTAGGGACAGGATTGAGTGACAAAAAAGGCAACAAATACACTGATTTTAGTTGACTTGGGTTATTACTGACTTGGGATGTATAGCCCTATGCACTAATCCATGTACAGGTGTACTGATAGTGTATGGTTTTATAGTCGTGATGCTAATCCCTGATAAGTAATCAGTGAGCATAGATTCATTTACTCGACTGAACTGAACCCAAGTCTGAACTAAAAACAGTGTATTTGTTTCATTTTTTGTCACTCAATCCTTTCCTTAATAATAGCACATGATGGTTATTTGTTATCAACGATTGCATATTAATTGAGAAAGTTAAATTTGAAGTCATATTTGATATATTTGTAGTACATTTGTACATTGATAAGATATCGAAATAATCTATAGTTTTTAAATGGAAATAATGTACAAATTAACCTTGGTAAAAATTTAATAAAAAACATTATACTTTTTTATATAAAAGAAGAACATTCGTGCAAAATATATTTATAAAATTTAACAAATAAATATAGTTATAATAGTTTTTAAACAAAATATAATCATGGCCATCTGTAAACTATTTATGCTTATTAGTTTGCTAGTATCAATCTGCACTTGCTTCGACTTTATAGATTGGAGAGAAAGAAATATAATACTACCGGTGCACAACCAGGTTTGTATACTATAATGTAATTCATCTATAATATTACAATTCAATAATTATTTTCATTATTATATGAATAGAGTGTATGTCTGAGTGCGGGAACAGTGAACGTGTTGGACATGATTAGCGCCATTCGTTCACTAAAAACCGGTAAATCACTGGAGCCTATGAGCGCGCAGGAGGTGTTTGATTGCAGTGAGTTGGCCATGGTCACATTAATGAAATATTATGAAATATATATTGTAACTTCAAATAAATAAATTATACTATTAGATCCTGATTGGTGTATATGCAATGCAACTGTCAGCGCGTACGATGTCTACCAGTCAATATTTGATAACATGGACTTGGTGCTTGATTTGGAAAGGGATAAACCGTTCACCGGCCAGTGCACCCATACATGCAATAAAACAATAATTGATAAAACAGGCTATAGGTGGTATAATACCCATTGGACGAACCCAAAGATAGAGATAGATAGAGAGAAAGATATGAGTAATTATCTCTCAGAGGGACCTTTCGTTGTGTACACAAAGTCCAATTCCCATGTATTCCAGACATACGCCGGCGGTATACTAGACAGCCGTGAGTGCAATACTACCGGCCCTTTGGATCACAGCCTACTTCTGGTGGGAGAGGGTGTCGACAATGGGACCGACTATTGGATCGCCAGAAATAAGTTTGTATTGAAATTAATTTGTATTTAGTATTAAAATGTTTAAATAATTTTACTCAACAGTTACGGTGAGGGTTGGGGTGAAAAGGGTTACATACGTCTGGGTAAAGGTCAAAATGTGTGCGGGATCGGTTTGGGATTTATACGTGCTTACAATAGTATATAGTATTTAATTAATATCAATAATTTAATTTAAATTGATTTATTTAAAATATTTGATTAATTATTTTTTGTCAAAACTAAATAAACTTATTTTCAAATAATAAAATATTCATTATATCATACCATGGTTACTTAAATTGTGACGTTTTAACAACATCTACCAGTTTTATAATTATTTATTTAATTACTTTAGTAAAAGGGGTTCACTTGCAAAATTAGTTCATAATACTAATTTTAAAAATAACAATGCCCAAATTTATTATTTTAATATTTTTAGTATTTGCATTAATTGACCATTTATGTGCAAGTAAGTTTGAATTTTAAAAATAAATACCCTAGATGCACTAGTTTTCAAGTTATTTTCAATAGTACTATATGAGCAATAGATTATGCAGTATATAATGATTGTATTACATGAAATAGAAAGTGCGTGGAATTTTTATCTTATCTTCTCATTTCAAAATGCTGAGTCAGATGGACCTTGAGGTTGTTTATTATTGTAGACTAGTTAGTGTAGATTAGAATAAATGGCGTTACATTTAAT